TGACAGCAGCCTGTAGGCTGTCAACGCATTCCTGCGCAGCTGCTTTTAAATCACAAATGGGATATCTGTAGTGTTTTTTGTGAGTCTGTGTGTGCGTAGCCACAAGTGTGCAACTGTGCCTTTGACGTTGTGTGCGTGGGTGTGAACGTGTGCTTTGTGTGTATATAAATTATTCCATCTCTGCTCCACATATGATGAAGTGGTTTTGCGTATATAAATGAGTGAAAGTGAGCGCACGAGTCAGGCTTACTTTCCATTTTAGCAACTCTCCAGAGACGCAGCTCTGTCTCTCAACACTGTGCAGTCACAGCGCTGAGGCTGATAAGGAAATGTTTAGCCAATTTCACCAGACTGTTGAAATGATTTGGAATCATCACGGGGCCACTGGGACATATCGAATGCATGGTGGAAAACTGGCTAAGCTAACTGAAATACTTAGTGGATCGAGGGAGTGAGAGATCTTTGTGTGTGCTGTTGGTATTTAAGGACATGATTTAATGAACTCTGTGCATGTACAAGATGGTGCTGATAAAGGTTGTACATGTTTTCTTACACGTGTGTTTGGAGACGTGCACACGGCTTCCAGCGTGCACACTTTTTCTTCCACATGCGCTCACTACTATCTCAGCCTTAATAATGAATACAATCTGTCCTTTCAGATCCACGAACGACTGCAGCACTATGAAGAGAGCAAGCCCGCCCCCGTCCTGGAAGGAGCTGCACCTCTGGCACGTGACGTAAGTGTTTTAAAAAACTTGTTTAAACTGATTGATCTTTTTATTGGCTGGGAGGCAAATGAATCGATTAAAGGAACCTTTGGTGAACATTGTCTATCTAGATGGGTTTCGGTTAATGGAGGCTTAATTTATTGACTAACATAAAATGACACTTCAACCCCCGTCTGGCCCCGGCCGCACTGTCTAGAACTCTTGGCAGGTGACTGCCACCGCTCAAGTGAAACCAGCATGGCCAGTGCATTGGTGTAAGGAAGCGAGACACACCACATCATCAATAAATAGTTCAAATGATGACCACTGATCTAGAACTGTATGATTGTTATGGCTGACTTGTATCCTTCTCCCTTTTGGAGAATCCTTTTCCTCTTCTGGCTGACTTCCAAACATCTTCATACAAACTCTGCTGTTACCTGGACACACCACTTGGTGCCATCAGAGAGCATTGGTCTGCATTATATTCCTGCAGCCTCAGATAAGAAAAATACAAACACAGAGAAAGAGTTCATCAGTGTCAAGTGTCTTTCATGTCAGTTTTTACTGTGTGGGACGGCTTGCTGCTCCTTTCCACACTCCAACCAAGTCCAGGAGGATCTTCCATAAATCAGAGCACAGATGGAGGAGCGTGGCCTGGGCTTAAGAAGCAGAGTCACTTG